TGTGTGTGTGTGTGTGTGTGTGTGTGTGTGTGTGTGTGTGTGTGCTGGCAGCGGAAAACCTCAGTCCGGTGTGTGCTTTGGCTTCAGGACGGAACATATGGGAGTGTTCACTGTGCAGAACTGGAAATACACGAAGACCTTCTTTCGTGTTGAATTTTTGAGGCTTATAAACATATCCCCACAAGAACAGAGATGTCAGGAGCTCTCTCTCTCATTTATCTATCAGTTTCTTTCTTTTTGCCTTCTGAACCCCTCCTTTTGTTGTTTAAACCTCCTAGTCTGTCAGGTGTCCCCTCCTCCTTCTGTATACTGTAATCGTCAGAAACCATTCTGCCTTGTCAAACTGAGCTGCTGAGGATCGATGAGGGTCTCTGTGTCTAATAGGAGGAAACCAGTAATCCAGTCCACTCTCTCAGACACAAGAGGCACCAGACAGTCACCACATGCAGCCGAAGCGCCACATGCTGTCCTACCAAGGTGCAGCGGGTTTTCACAGTTGAAGTCAACTCCTGTGCAGCAGCGTGACGCAGAAGGTCTTCATTTGTAGTGTTGTGATGAAGAAATGATCGGTACAGTCTGACCCCCTCTTGGCCATAACCTAAAAATGTATCAGTACTAGCTACTTGGAAAATGTATTAGGAAATGTGACTTTTTCCTTTGAAATCCTTACATGGAATTTTAACTCCTTCCCCACTTGGTGAAAAGAAACTGAGTGACGGAGGTCTTTGTCTTCATTCAGCTGAAAACAGGAGCCTCGGCTGCAAAGACCTCCCCTGAAAACCGAGCAGATTGGGGTTGCAACCACTCCGCTTCCCGGCACTAACACACGGTCATGGGACCACGAGGCCCGTGGCCAGCTGGCCAGAGAGCGCATCTTTGATGTGTGACGCACCGTGGAGACGCCTGCACCAAAAAGACTCTCACGCACATACTGGAGGAAATGTAAAACCACTGCCTCATTCCATTGCAATGTGGAGTTACTTAATTAAAACGTGCTGTTGTTGCTGGTGGAAACAAATTGTTCTGAAATCAACGTGCAATTTCTCCAGTAAAAGCACATGCATGAATGCAGGATTAAACGGAAATGACACCATATGATATCAAACCTAACCAAAAGCACATGCATGAACTTGCAGGATTAAACGGGAATGACACCATATGATATCAAACCTAACGACGGAGTCCTACAGAAATCACTCTTTTGATGAAATACATCGTTAAAACAATACAATATGGATGCTGTGATCATTTCTGCCTTCCAGTGGGCTGATTTTGTAGTTTTTTTCCTCATTATGGTTGATCTAAAAGGGCGGTTTAATGCCTTCTGCCTTCTGAACCACTGAGATTGTTTGGAATCAGCTCTTTAAACAGATGCAGGAGCAGGTGGATGTACCAGCTGGTGCATCTTCCAGCCATTATGTGTGAAGTCAAATGTACACAGGCTTTAGGACCGCGGGATGAGCTGGATGAGAGGCAAAGTGTGCGCACCTCCACCATTTAGAAGTTCGGGGCTAACTGGTCTTGAGCCCGCCTTGCCTGTCACTCGTGTCCCCGGTTTTGTGCTCCATGGATACAGCTTTACTACTCCGAAGATTCAAAAATATCCGCGATTTTGTTCTTCTTTCCTTTATTGGATAATCCCCGTAGACTGTCATCACTTTGGAGAAATGCAGTCGACTTCAAAGTTGAGGCAAAGCTCAAAAATGAGGAAGTCAAGACAACATTGGGCTAACTTTTGAGCGCTACTCCCCTCTTCTCTACTGCACTCTCCGGAATGAGGCTGTGGGGCAGAGCTACAGCTGCCCAGAGGAGGATGCTCTCTATCTGGCTGCTGCTCCTCGGGTTCGTTCTGGTCACACTGGCACTCTCTGGGCTCTTTAACCGAGACAGAAATCACACTCATCAGAAACCTGGCCCTCCCTGCCGCCCGCTCCAGGGATTCGACAATCCACCGGACCTAGAGGTCATCGTGGACTCCCGGGACCCTGCCTTAGAGCTCGGCATCGACCTTGCCCCGCTAAAATCTCTGCAAGAAGACCAGCTTTTATTCGTGCAATCCACGAAGGGCACCAAGAACCCGCCGCAGAGGAAAGGGAGCTATAAGTTACTCCTGCCTGGAGCCAGTAAGGACACCACCGCTCCTGCGCCTTCGACGTACGGTGAAATGGGTAAAGCAGTTCGGCTAAACCTGGAAGGGTCGGAGAGGGATATGGAGCTGGCTGCAGTGCAGAAGTACGGGTTTAACAACGTGGTTAGCGATAGGATATCACTGCATCGTGTACTGCCGGAGGCGCGCCATCCTGGGTGAGTGGACGGCACACGGGCGCCGTTGGGGGGGGGATTTAGGACGATTCTAAGGGCCCACGAACTCTGGGGGCCCACAGAGACTAGCTTTGGGTGAGGTAGAGGGCCCAAGTTCAAATTTTTTCATAGGGCCCAAAACTGCTAGCGGCGCCCCTGGCACGGCACACTGGTCACAGCGCACGACTGGAAACATAAACCAAAAAAATCCCTTGGTGTTGTCGCTCTGACTGTGTGAATTTGGTTCCCACTTGACAGGTGTTTAGGGGAGCAGTACAGCAAGTCGCTGCCGTCAGCCAGTGTTGTTATCTGTTTCCATGACGAAGCTTGGTCCACGCTCCTGCGCACCACGCATAGCATTCTCGACACTGCACCTAGACAGTACCTGCAGGAGGTTCTGCTGGTGGACGACCTGAGCCAGCACGGTATGTTTCCAACTAACCACATCCATTCATCCATCAACTTGACCTGCTGATTTAATGACTACACTTATCTTTGTCTGTGTACACCATTCAGGTCACCTAAAAAGTGTTTTGAGTGAATATGTGGCTCATCTAGATGGGGTGCGTTTAATCCGCAGCACCAAGCGCCTTGGTGTTGGAGGGTGTCGTACTCTGGGTGCTGCCAGGGCTGCAGGGGAGGTGCTGGTGTTCATGGACTCCCACTGTGAATGCCAGAAAGGCTGGCTGGAACCACTTCTGGAGAGAGTGGCTCAGGACAGGTGGGCTATCTGTAAGAATCTTGAACTGCACTGCAAAATTCTTGTTATTCCATTGCAGAATTCCTCCATATTTACACTAATCATAAACTGCTCTGTTGGTTATTTACCAAAAATAAATAGTTAAGGACTGAGGAAAACCTGAACCACCAGCTGTGCTCAAACTCCGTCTCTCTTTTTCCATAGTTTTGTGCTGTTAGACAGAACCACTTGAGAGTGGGAAGATGGAGGGTTCCCAGTTATCAGTTGTCCTCATTCATTAGTAAATCAGACATGCTGTGTGTGTATCCAGCCCTCACCTCTCATGATTTGGTTCTAGTATTGTATCTCAGGCTCTCTGCAGCTTGGCTCCAGTTAAACTAGGTAATTAGGCTGAACACTCTTGCCTGGAATCTGCAACCACTCAACCTTCTCAGCCACCCTGTTTGACTTTTCTCCCTCTTTTATTCCCCTTTAATCTTTATTCATTTTTCTTCATTTCATTTCCTCTGAATATCACATAACACATGACCTTTATCTGAATATATTTTAAATAGCATACATGAACCACGCAGGCCGGCCCATGCATGTTTCTTAACCTTGCTTTTGTTTGATATATCCTGAAACACATTCAGACATAGACATTTGTAAATTACACAGACACATATGCAGGTGGGAAAACATTTCTCCTTTTCTCAGTATTAATTTTACTGCACACACACACACAATAATACGTGAACATGTATCAAAGGAAGACTGATAATGCCTTATTCTCAAATGTTTGGCTGACAGAACATTATTAACATGCCAATCTTGAATCATTCTGTCAAGAAGAAGACTCATCTGAATATTGTGTCTCTGTGCAGGACCAGAGTGGTGTCCCCCATTATAGATGTGATAGACTGGCAGACGTTTCAGTACAATGCCACTCGGTGGCCAGTTAGGGGGGTGTTCGACTGGAGACTTGACTTCCATTGGGAATCAAACCCTCAGCTGCAAGATGAGGACCCAGACTCAGATGATGAACCCATGCGGTGAATTTACAGCTTAAAGCAATGACAAGAACCCAAAGAAGAAGTATTTATCAGGTGTGGTTAGATGCTCCACTGACACTTTTCTGTTTTTGTTTTTTTTTTCTTTAAACTGATGTTGACCTCATCTGTGAAAGGAGTCCAGCATTAGGAGGTGAAGTTGTGGCCATTGACAGACATTTCTTCCAAAGTCTGGGAGCCTACGACCCTGGGATGCTGCTGTGGGGGGTGGAGCAAATTGAACTGTCCATGAGGGTAAAGAAAAAAATAATTATCATTAGCTTTCCTGTCAGATTCCTTAAATCACCAGAGCAAAGAGACATCACTGACTGTTTTTATCTTAAGTACATAAAGTATTTTAACAGTGCTTTACCTGAGTGAGTCAGCTGCTTTTTTTAGGGCCTCAGGAATGTTGTGCTAGAACCTGATAGCTTTTGCAAATGGAAATCTCTGGTTGGAGGTCTGGGAATGTCTTGGCCAGCTAACAAATTCACAAGTGTGAGAGCAAAACCATTTAGTTGGCCATTAAAATAACCAAAATTCTGTTATGTGTAGATATATTACAACCTGTGTTTTTAAACAAAAATGTCTTTCTAATAATTATAACAGATTTATTTAAAGTTGTTTTACACAGACAATAGATGTTCCAAAGATTTATTTATTTATTTATTTTACCACAGTCATGCCAAAATAAAAATACTACATGGGTATTGTTGTGGAAAAAACTTTGCTCAGAGAGAAAGATTTTATATTTCAGATCATTTTATTATATGCAAAGATCTGGAGTTGGTTCATCAGCACAACTGAACACAACTGAAGAAAATTGTGCAGTTACAATTCTGTTATACATTAATGTCCACACCCTGTTGTCATGGATTGTTCACTCATTGCCAATCATAGACCTGCTTCTGCTGCCAACCCTATCTACTTTCTCACCTTTGTGTATATTTGTTGCATTGTGTGTGTCTGGTTTCTCTTCATCTTTACCCAGTCACAATGTGGATGTGAAGCAAATTATCATGGTCATAGTGTACGTGTTTATCAGAAATGTGTGTCTTCTACTCAAACTTGTAGTCAAAACATGTTTTTGTATGTAGATGTTCTTGAAGGCTAGACAGCAAACCTCCAGAAATTCATAACAGTCTATGGTATTCATCCCTGTCTGGCACGAGCTTAAACCACCTCAGCAAGGACACACTTCTCAAACTATGAATAAACGCACAGTATTTAATGAAAGAATACACACTAATGTATAACATAATACAGTGCATATATGGATACTAAGTACTGTCTTTATAGTTTGTCTAACTGTTAAATGTTACTCTAACCTCTGCATACAGATGTGTATGTGTAAAACCAAACCTCTCTTTGATATAGATGCGTGATAACTGCTGACATCTCCTCCCATCCCGAGTATTACTCTCTTCTCACTAAGACAGAAACCACCTGCTTTTTAAAGACACACAATCTCCAACTCAGGAATTCACTATAATACAGATACAACCGTAGAATACTGTAACCGTAATGTCTTCACAAAAATATAAAGATATTATGAAATGATATGCAAGAATACATGTTGAATGAGTTTTGAATGATTTTCCACTACAGTATAAACCTGCTTTTATCATTCATGTTATCCAGGTATGGTGTTGCGGTGGCTCTATGGAGGTTGTTCCATGCTCTCGTGTGGCCCACCTACACCACCACCACCTGCCGTACCACATCCCAGACCAGGAACTGCTTCAAAAGAACAGGATCCGCATTGCTGACACCTGGATGGATGCATACAGGAAGATCTTCTATAGGAGAGACACGCTTGCTCATTTCATCAGGCAGGTAGGTGTGTGTGTTTGACAGGTTTGGATTGTACCAGGTCCATAAAATGAAACCACATAAATATCATTTTGTGCAGTCTGAGAGCCCTAACATTGCAGAGCGTCTGGGACTGAAGAGGAGTCTGGGCTGTAGGAACTTTCACTGGTACCTGACAACAGTTTATCCAGAACTCTATATCCCCCAGGATAGACTTGGACTGTCAGGCGAGGTAGCACACACATACACAGACACACACAGGATGCATACTTCTCTATAATGGACATGACATCCTGTGACACGTAGTATTTGTCTACTGAAGCTGTACAACATTGGCACTGATAGCTGTGCAGACTACCTGGAAAGGCAGGCACTGCAAGGTGGGCCCATGAATATTGCACCGTGCAGTGGGACGGGCAGCCAGGTAACCGTGACAACAGATTTTTCAGTTGTGAAAGCAGAAAAGAAACAGGTGACAGAAAGTGTCACAGATGTTCTCTCTTATCCCTGCAGCACTGTGACCTAAACTTTGAGGGCGAAGTGCGATGGGGTCCAATGGGGGCTTTGTGTTTGGATGCCGAGAAAGAGAGAGTAATTCTCTCTCCGTGCCCCACCCAACAACCAACCACCAGCAGACTCGAGTGGAAGTTCTTAAAGGCAAGGCAGAGAGCTGAATATGTTTATGTACTGTTAGTTACACACTTGTTTGCCCTTCAGGCTCTGTTCTTCAACACACTCAATTTAAAATAATGAATACCACATTAAAGTGCCAAACTCATCTTTAATTTGAATAGGTTTACGTCAAGATTCAGATATATAGATTCCCTTTTGATGCAAGTGCCAACATTGCATGGGTTCAAAAGTAACTTGACACTCAGCTACTAAATGTTTCTTAAGCAACTGTGTGATACTTTAACATTAGTTTGTGCACAAACAAACTCACACATTGCTCAGAGTTCAATAATAGCTGAAGGTTTCCATTTTGATTGAGGAATGGAGAGATCATGCAAGTGTAGAGGACAATAAAGACGCTGAAAATCAACAGTTGCGTACACTGTACAGGAAAATTAGAGAATGATAAACAAATCAGTAGACTGAGGAGCACACCTGGAAAATTATTTGCAAAGTGGAAAATAGTATGCAGGTGTAGAGGCAGAGAGACCCTACAAGTCGAAGGAGAAGGTGGCTGAAGACCTGGGAGAGTATCACCAGGGCAGGTACTAAGTGTCTGCGGATGTGTATATGGAGATGATTCCAGCCAGAGTTAGGACAGGATTTTTCACAAGATATTGAATATTGTGATTTTATTTGACTTCATGTGTGTTTGTCCACTTACTTTTGAAAGCCTAAACTTTGGGCACTGAGTTTTTCTATATACAGTATACAGTATATGTTATTTATACTATTGAAACCTACTCAAGTAAAACCTGAGACTTGGCACTGTTATGCATTATCCATTACTTTATTTCAAATTGAATGTGCTGAAACCTAAAGAACAAAAAATGTATAACTATCCAAATTTCTAAGTCTGGAATGCATATGGTCACCAGACCGTTTGGCAAACTCAGTGTATCTGTTCTCTGCTTCAGCTGAGCGGTCAGCTTATTCACCAACAGTCTCAGTTATGTCTGGAGGCTGTAAAAGAAGGAAGCCGCTTGCAAAGCAGCCCAGGAGACGTTTACACCCACACCAGCACAGGAGGTCTCTTCCTACGCCCCTGCACCCATGACCCCAGACAACAATGGCGCTTTGAGCAACTGGTAGCGCCTAAAGGTGCCTGATACAGAAAGTACAGTGGGGCTGGTGAATTTGCAAGACATGAATCCTAGTCACATATTGCCGTATATGTTCTATGCACAGTGGCACATAATATGCATATTGTGGAATGGTGGTGAAAAATGTACTTTTTGTTCCATTTTGCTATTCAGCTTTTTTGTTCCTGTTTTAAGGATTACAAATAGTTTTTACTGGGTTAACTAATAACAAACAGATGATCTATTAGTGATATCCTTTGTCGTATTTAATCTTATACAGTTTGGAAATCCTGGAGAGAAAATTATCCTAAGTAATCTTTTACTACAGTAAATATCTGCATTAATTCATATGTAAATGTTTTTCTCTGCATTTCTAAAATACTTAATAACTTAGTAGACAGGATCACATTAAAGATTACACATCTATTATTTGAGCACTGGATCCTAATATATCTCCAAATAAGTAGCCATCATGACCACTGTCCTACAAATCTAAGCTCAGGCTGGAGGAAATGTAAGTAATGGACAGTACCAAAAATTCTGTGTTATTGCTGAAGTTGTCAGTAGTTCCTCTAAGTTAGATTTTAGTTTATTAAACAGATTTTTTTTTCTTGGAAATAAAACCAATCCTGCCACAAGCATACCATTCTCACTTAAAATAAAATTAGAATTAAAAACAGGGTAATTAAAAAGCTATTGCAAACTCAGAGTAAGAAGAGATATGACAAAATAGGACATATTTTCTGAATGGGTCTTCATTATTGATAGCAATCAGGTAAAACCTATTTACATCTGCACTGAAAAAGAAATACCTATGTCCTACAGGCTAGCAGCTAATGTATATGAAAATGAAAACCAGAGGACAGTTATTACAGAAGAACCACGGTTAGTTAATACTGCACATGTGCACTTAGTTATACACTTAGATAACCTGCTTAGTTCCAATTAAGGATTTAAATCTTAATGCAAAAGCATACAGGGACATTTTTGATGAGCATGTTTCCATTTTGTTTAACCAGTGTAGGGACAGCTTTTCTTTTATTAACATGGCAGTGCCCCTTTGCACATAGTGATGGCCATGATCTGCTCAGAACTGTCCATCCTAACTTTCATGAGGCTGAAGGGGAGCAAATCAAAAGCCTTGTGGACTGTCTTCCTAAAAGACTGAATTGGCTGTAGCAGTATTTAACAGGTGTCCACTTCTGGGCAAGTAGTGTACCTCTCCAGGATATACTGCATGATATGTATACACAGGTTTATCCACTTATTCTACTGATTAGATGGCTGTACAGGAAGCATTTCACTCACATACTGACTTGCCAGAGTAGAAAAAGCACAAGTTAATGATAGATTTGTTATATTTAAATGTCCAGTAAGTCATGACAGTATGAGGCTGAGCTAGCATGCACAATGCCAGCCCTGAATCAACTAAATGGAATTCATAATTCATTTTATAATTGGCAGCTGTGGCCTTTCTACAGTGGCATGTCAAAACTAACAAGACAGTGAGAGAGATGTCAATCAAGCAGTCACCCATTCAGTCCAATCAGGCAAAATAAGTAAAGACATTGTGTGGGTGACCCATTGAAGTGTAGGGGTCTTTCTGGATTAATTCAGCACTGATGTTGTATCTTAAATGTTTTATTCTTTCTGTTTGTTTGGTATTGTTGCACTCTTTTACCCCATATGTTCCTGACAGAAATATTTTCATACCGTATCAGCTGTCAACAGCAGAGGGAGCCATTTACCTTTATAATCTAAAACCCCAACTGATCATTTCCTTAGTGTTACATGAATAACCTTCCCTTATGATTTACTTATGTGAATGTCCACACAAATGTTCTCATATTGACTTTCTGTGGTTAGAGCTAACATACTTGGGGTGGAGTGGAGGCTGCCTATGAAAGGACAATTTGTGATTAAGGTCCACATAACAGTGTCATGTGTTTTTTTTGCCCATGTATTTAACATATAGTCAGATAAAACTAATTGAAAGTGCTATCGAGTGGCACCTGATGGGCAGGGAAGACCCTATCTCCTAGCTCAAGGAGGTGAGTGTTAATTTACCCCATGCACTCTGTTGCACAGTAATGCTCTTAATCCTCAACCCGGGATGCACGTAGCCCAGTAAAGTACACAGCACCCTTTCAATAAAGAGATCACATGTCTACAGCTTCAAGGCAGAGGTCAAAGACTTGGACAAACAAGATGATGTTGACTAGTAGGTCTTCTCTCAGTTACATAAGGCTACTGAGCTATTGTGAAAGGGCAACATCTCTCTGCTGTGGTTTTTCAGAGGTCAAGAGGTCAAAGACTCATTGCATGGCTGATTTCACTGTGAAAAACAATCCATATCTGCCCCTAAGGTTAAATATTGCAGAATATGCTCTAAGGAATAAAGTGCAAGAAAGAAAACAATGCAGTCTGTAAAACCTTTGACCCTGGCCCTTTTCAACAGCTCAGAAGACAAACTGGAAATAGTTTCTCCAATCTTATACTTCATGGCTTTTTACAAATTTATGAGAACTGCTTGTGAATTTGGTTTCCCACACCCCCGGCCGAAACTGTTATTGTAGATTTAGAACAATTTCCCCCTCTCTGGGGTTTAATTTTAAACAACAGCACTACTCTATGCAGGATAACATACTGTAGATTTCTTTGTTGGGGAATGACGTTTTTTGAAATATCAAAGAACTATACATTTGTTCATGCTCATATTAACATTTATAACATAAAATACATCCTTATTTGATGTAAGAAAAATGTTGTATGGCCATTTAATATTTAGTTATCTTCATCAAACTTGAAAGTTGTTGCAAAGGAAAAGGTCACTACTTCCGTACATTATTACATTATGGATTTAAAGTCAAAATAAAAGACAAAAATACATCTAAAGGAAAAAATGACCAGCTTTGCAATTCGTATTTTTATGACTTTTACACATATACAGTGAGATTTGTGGGGCACACAATGAAGAGGTAAAGGCAATGTCAGCAAAACACTAAAATTAAAGTGTTAGCCCGTATTTCCCTCTTGAGCATCATATACACCCTCCCCCTATGTCTCGTCTAAAGTTTCTAAAGCTACTATACATTACATTTCTATGAAAGTGGAGTATCACTATCCAAATGGCTGATAAAGCTAAATGAACTGTAATATCATTTGGACTATGAAGTGTTTTCATGCTGAGCTGCAAATGAAAATAATGGTAAACCTTTCGATGAGCAATTTGATCTGCGTTTCAGTGAAGTGCATTTTTTGTGTGTGTGATTTTAAGTACTTAATTGCATGACACCTTAAATTCCAGCTTCACGCTAACATGGATAAACGTACTGGGCCATTTGTTCAGCAAGCCAAATAAACAGTATTACACACTGATCAAAAGCCACACAAACATATGCATGCACTTCTCTTCCAGCCCTTCCTTATTGCTCCCAAGGTGAGATGACTAATAAGTGGACTGAAACCCACAGTGGAACTTTATTAGATTCATTCCATGAATGATGTCTTGACCTGGTACTTGAGTTTGTACAGTGGCAGTTGCTTTATTGTTGCACTGGGACAACACTGGTGCTGACGATAGGGCAGGCTTGAATCATGGATTGTTGGCTCGTCTACTCTGCAAAAAATTATTCTGACAATCCTGACCTGACATTTGAGCCCACCTCTGCCACCTCAGTTTTTAAAAAAATATCCTATTACTTCCTACTTAATCCCTATAGGGATCTGCTGTCACTTTATATTGCACAGCTGTGTGAAAAATTCCCAGTAGAGGATAAGACATGCTCCATAAAATAATCACAGACATTCACTGTGCTCTGAGTCTCTCAGCAATAACTAGCCCAGTCAAAGCATACTGTAAAAGCAACACCCTTGATAGCATGTGTGTTCAAGTGAGAATACAGTATGTGTCATCATTATGCAATACAGTCAAGAAAGGTGCTAAACAATATTAAGTAGCAGTCTTTACATTTCTTTGAGGGCTGATATCTACTGTATATGTCTCAATTTAGACAAATATAGTAAATAAATAGATTACATAATTTTAGATAAAATATGAAAATGACACCACAAAGATGTAACTTTGTCAAAATATTATAACATCTATGCATAAATGAACCTACTCTGTGTTTTTGGAGGCTATGTTGCTTCATCTCTATCCACTTTTGTAGATAGTACTGCAGTGCTTGGCTGCTGCTTATCATTTTTCTAGTTTGCTCTCACCTTTCCAATGTACCATAATATTCCCCTCTGCCTGCAGTCTGCTGTTCCTCCAGAGACTCTTCTGCTGCTGTTCTCCTCCCTCTCCCAAAACTGTCCTTCTCTGTTGCTAGTTGGGACCTTTTCCCGCCCTCCCCTTCATTCTGTCTCATGTAGTGAACACGGTGAACGCCCACATCAAACATTAATGGCCACTGGGCATTATCACCCGCTGGAGCGACTGCGCCACAGTTCTTTCTTCCTCCTCGCATACACATAAACACACATATCTTCCAAAGAACCAGGGTGACTCAGATGGATGTCAGCTGCTGTGGAGCAAGAGGCTGTGGTCTCTTTATGAAGATCCATGGGGATATTTCACCCAGAACAGAGGAGGTGGCTGTACTTACTTTGTGCTCCTCAAAGAGCCCTGGGTCTTCTTTACACAGACACTGTTGTTTCCAATGATTCGTAATGTGCTTGTTGTGCAATTAGGTCTGTGTGGATAGGCCTCAGGAGCCGGTGCTGACACCGAACAAAGATTAAGTGCATTAAAATGTGACAAAAATCTTGGCTTGCAGCAGCAATTAAGGCCAGAGACAAAAACTGTTTTTGAAAGTCTCATTTAGAAAGTTGCTGGTGACACAGACACTTTATAAGAGCACCCTTTAAATTCAGATTCAGGGTTTCAAGAATGGCCTCATTTCTGTAACACGTTACGCAGCTCTTTCAGGTCAGAAAACACATTAGAAATTGCTCTCTTGATAAAATATGAGCGATAGTACCTGTTCCTTTTTACCTACCTGTTATCTAATTTCTGATATGTACACTGAATAAGCATAAATGGTCAAAAACAGAAAAGGCAAATGATAATCGGTAAGTAAATATTGTACTTATGTTTAAAAACAAATACAATAAAATTAGAACTAAATTAAAGTTGCTCTTAAAGTTTTACTTCAGCCCATACACATGTATAATGAAATGGTGAGTTACTAGCCTGTTTTAATGTTAAGTTCAAATTGGGTAAAGTAAATTAATCATGGATTTATGTAAAGTCTGGTCTGAAAAAGCAAAGTCTGTTCTATAAATTCCTCAGTGAAATTAAGGTATTTGCACAGCTGAATTTTAATCAGTTAACCACTTAACTACTCATAGTTTCTTTAACCCCATAACCCCTGACAGAAAACATTCCATTCTGCATAGCGGTTAGCTCTGTTGTGGGGCTTTCATCACTCCAATTAATGACCCTTCATTGCCATGTAGCTTCAACAAGCATGCAAAATGTACTACAGTTAAATTTAACATTTGGAGATTACACTTAATGGTTCTACACAGAGAAATATTACATAAAATAGTCAGGGGCAGATCTAGAAAATTTTGGATGGAGTGGCCAGGCTGGGGCACCGATTGGGTATAAGTGGTACGTTTGAAATTTATGTAAAAAGTAAATTAAACCCCTAGTTTTATGAAGTAATAAACCATGAATTATCAATAATCAAACTGTTTATTTTGTGTTTAAATGAGACACATAGTGTTTTCTTTAGCTAACTTCTCTCACTGCTGCTTATTTACTCCTGGACATTGCTGCTGCACAGTGAGGTGAATCATGTCAAGTACTCCACAACAACATACACAACAACTTCTATAAAATAAAACTAATCTAACCAATATCAATTATAAAACACAAGAAAAATGTTAGTTATATTTAAATCAACAATTTGTCATTGTTTTTCATTCATTATTACTGATCAAATCTAATTTATTTATATTAAAGCACTTTCAAACAACATCCAGCTGACCAAAGTACATTACATGGGAAAATAAAATCACAATAAATGACTAAAATAAAGTAAATAAGATCAGTGCAAATAAAAATAAAACAGCACAATAACACAGGCACACATAACATATGTTCAATAAATTAAAATTAAATTAAAAGTAGTTAAAAGGAATGCATCAATGCCTACTGGGTATTAAAAGCCAAGCCAAATAAATATGTTTTAAGCAATGATTTAAAAGTAATGAGGTCAGGAGCTGATCTAACATTAAAAGGTAGACCTTGTAGGTTTGTGCCAATGCACCAATTCAGTGAGGTAAGATGGTGCCAAACCATTAAGAGCCTTAAAAAATGAAAATCAGCATCTTAAAATCAATTCTAAAACTGGAAGACTGGAAGCCAGTGGAGAGAAATATATCTGAATGTCATCAGCATAACAATGAAAAGAAAGGCCATATTTCCTTAATAAGATAGATCCCAGTGGGAGCATGTACAAAGAGAACAAAATGGGACCAAGCACAGATCCTTGGGGGACACCACAGGAAAGGATAGCTGAGGATGATGAACAGGTACCAGTATTAACAATAAAACATCTATTTTTGAGATAAGATCTGAACCAGTTAAGAACAGTACCTTGAATTCCTACACACTGCTCCAAACGAAATTCCATAATCCACTGTATCGAAGGCAGCAGTGAGATCTAAAAACACCAATAAAACTGAATCCCTGGCATCCCTAGCCAACAGAATATCGTTACTGATTTTAAATAAGGCAGACTCAGTACTATGTTTTGATTTAAAACCTGATTGAAATTGCTCCTCAATGCCATTATCTGTTAAAAAAGACTGAAGCTGTATAAAAACAATCTTCTCCAGAACTTTAGACATAAAAGATCATTTAGACACTGGTCTAAAATTAGAAAACACTAAAGGATCAAGATTTGGCTTTTTGAGAAGAGTCTGGACAATTGTTCTCGGAATAGGATCTGGACTTCACTGTCCTCAAAAGAATGTCCTTTGTCCTTCAGGTGGAGGTGGACTGCTAATTGCGTTTGGTGGGAAACACACAGCACCACATAATTAACTCCCAGGACTTCATGAGGAAAGTCCAACAACTGCAGCTGGACCAGGACGAGACCATGGTCTCATATGATGTCACATCCTTGTTCACTTGCATCCCCACCACATGGGCTGTCAAGGCGGTGAAGAAGAGACTCCTGAAGGATGACACACTGAACAGCTGGACTAACTTCACCCAAGGCCATGTATGCACTCTGCTGGAACTCTGTTTAAACACTACCTACTTCCAGTTTAGGGGGCACTTCTATAGGCAGCAACATGGCACAGTACCTTGAATTCCTACACACTGCTCCAAACGAAATTCCATAATCCACTGTATCGAAGGCAGCAGTGAGATCTAAAAACACCAATAAAACTGAATCCCTGGCATCCCTAGCCAACAGAATATCGTTACTGATTTTAAATAAGGCAGACTCAGTACTATGTTTTGATTTAAAACCTGATTGAAATTGCTCCTCAATGCCATTATCTGTTAAAAAAGACTGAAGCTGTATAAAAACAATCTTCTCCAGAACTTTAGACATAAAAGATCATTTAGACACTGGTCTAAAATTAGAAAACACTAAAGGATCAAGATTTGGCTTTTTGAGAAGAGTCTGGACAATTGTTCTCGGAATAGGATCTGGACTTCACTGTCCTCAAAAGAATGTCCTTTGTCCTTCAGGTGGAGGTGGACTGCTAATTGCGTTTGGTGGGAAACACACAGCACCACATAATTAACTCCCAGGACTTCATGAGGAAAGTCCAACAACTGCAGCTGGACCAGGACGAGACCATGGTCTCATATGATGTCACATCCTTGTTCACTTGCATCCCCACCACATGGGCTGTCAAGGCGGTGAAGAAGAGACTCCTGAAGGATGACACACTGAACAGCTGGACTAACTTCACCCAAGGCCATGTATGCACTCTGCTGGAACTCTGTTTAAACACTACCTACTTCCAGTTTAGGGGGCAACATGGCTGTGCTATGGGCTCAAGTTCACTCATGAGGATGCCAGAGATGACTGCCTGGCCTTTTTAGATTGTGCAGTCTATTTGGGAAGGGACAAAAACCTGAAGGTATAAATATATTGGAAACCTACACACATGGACCAAT